AAAAAAAAAAAAGAAAGAAAGAAAGAAAGAAAGAAAGAAAGAAAAAGCACCTTATGCATTAAAAATGGTATGCATTAAAAATGGTATAGAAAAATGTAAAAAAAAAAGAAAGAAAGAAAGAAAGAAAGAAAAAGCGAGAGTACATGTTATATTAATGAGTTGCTTAAGCTTGCCATATATCCCTAATTAATAAATAAATATGTAGTAAAATAATTTCTCCAATTATTTGATGTATATTAATTAAATTAATATATTTATTATTATTTTTTGTTACATATAAATTAAACCAAAAGAAGAGAAAGAGACATACCTTTTGATTTTCCCTTTCATGAAAAGTTCACTAGACAATAAATATATTTAAATCTTCCTCTCATAAAATATTCTCATTATTATCATTAATTTTCTAATATTATTACATGTCTCTTGAAATTCTCTTCTTACTATATACAGTCCATTGATTTCTTTTGAAGGCAATATTAATAAAACAAAAGAAATAAGGAGTGCGCTAACCAATCTGATATGCAAGTGCAAGGGCTTTATGCAATGAGAGTGGCAATGTGAGGTGCATCACATTTTCAAGGAAGCGAACTACAATCCATATTACATGGCTTTGGGATTTTACCATTTAGAGAGGGGAGGAATATATTTGATTTGGTACATAGACATCTTAGAAATGATTTGTTAGAAGTTTGTGGACTTATAGCCTCCAAATTAATTAGTACTTAAGCACTGTCATTGTAAAAAAAAAAAAAAAATTCCACTTGATTGGTTACATTTTTGTTTTTGTTTCTTAACTATAATTCCTAACAAAGTTCTCCATTAGTATTATTGATTAAATATTTATAATTCATGGAATCTATTAACAAATTTATCGTGTTTGTAATAGTACTTAATTTTTATTCACTTGATATTTTTGGGCCAACTTATACTCTTGATTATTTCCACTAGATTTTATTTGTTCCTAAAAGTTTCTAACCTTTTTTTTTTTTTTTTGCTTATAATTTAATAGATCTATTATCAAGTCACTCTATTATCAAAGGTAAATAGTTAATTTCTATTACTGATTATTTTTACTAGATTTTATTTCATTCCTAAAATTCCTAATAATTCCCTTTTTTCTTAGTGATTAATTGTTCCAAGAATATAAATTATTGTCAAATTCAACCCCTCTCTTGAAGTGCATTGAGCCAACAATATTTCAAAACAAATGCTTGGATGAGGGGAAGCCATTTGATCTAGTGTAGGCATGTTCATTCCAATGGCTTAAATGCAAAGGTGAAGGGAAAAGAATTACACTTTTCGATTAGATTCAACAACAAGGTTAAATACTATAGTAGCCTTCGCAAAGCAAACTAGAATGTGAAACTTAGTATAAGGTCATGTTGTACTTATCAATTTTGATCACAAGAGCTCCCTTGGTTGTGCTTTGGTACTTACTTTGTAATATGGGTTTGAAGTACTCCTTGTACTTCACAATAAATAAATTTCATGTTTTGTTCCAAAAAAAAAAAAAATGGTTATCCTAGACAAATGTGCAAATCTAATTCAAAATAATGCATAAATAAATTGGCCATTTAATTTTTGTTCTCAAAGTGTCCTCGTAATTCAAGTGATGCGACAGGCCCATTTTCATTTAGGGAGACCATGGTTTAATAGTTTGATGACATGCATAAGGCCATAGAATGATGAGATGCTTGCAACAAAACAAATCATAAACTTCGAATCATGTAAAAAGATTACTAGAACATTAAGTAATGACCATAGAACATAAACCTATATACTAATGAACAATAAAACAAACAGAGGAATTATTTATAAAAATGGAAATAGATGAAAACCTATATACCATTAACTATAATTGTCACATTTAATGATAATTTGAAGAAAATAATGGCCATTGTACATCTCATTGCCATTACAAATAAAAACCCCTCTTCTACTTCTTCACTGAATTTCTTCTCTAATTCTATCAAAATCTCACCTACTCGAAGCAACCCCAATAGTTCTACAATAGCCCCTAGAAAAAAAATTCAGCTTAGCTACCATCATGTCAAGAACAAACAACAACAAAACCCTCCCAGACAATTTGTTAAACACTTATCATACATAGCCTCAAGGAATATTATTCTTCTAGACATCAACTCCTCAAACCCCAGCAAATAAAACCAATAAACCAAGCAATTCTAGAACAAATAAATAACCAAATCACACCTTAATTAACTAACCTTAACCACAGCCAATAAGGTTCGAAGAATGAGGGAAAAAGGTCAAGTCACCTTCACCCTAGGTCGATTGGGAAGAACATGTGTTCAATTGAGCTTGAGTTTTCATTGTATTCGATTGCACTTGAGCTTTCAACGAGTTTGAGCCCGAGCTTCTTAGCACCATTCAAGAGAACAATGATTTCCAATAAAGAGAGAAGAATTTGAGGATGAGTAGAGCATAGGTAGAAGAAGGTGGGAAGGAGATTTAGCAAGAACTTCGAGAGAAACGGATATAATGGCACTATTGTTTTTTTTTTTTTTTTTTTTTTAACAAAATGACAATGCTTTTTTAGGTTGTCCCAGCAATATTTTTGTTAGGGAGGCCCGAATTTCCATTTTCCCTTTTCTTCATCCCATATATTTAATAATTTTTTATTGAAAACTAATTTATATACACTCAATTCAATATATTTGATGAGATTTTTCCTAATTTAACTATTAAAATATATTATAAGTATAATCAATTCAAGTGATTTCTATATATTCTATGTATGACTGCATCTTTAAATTTGTTTACCTTTAATTTTATATCAAAAAATAGTAATTTTTTAATAAATGCATTGTCAATGTATTAAACCAAAATAATATATACCAATCAGTGTCTTTTTCTTTTTATTAAATGAACTATTTTATTAAAATAAGAAATCATCCCTCATTATAATAATACTTAAACAATGGATTAATTAATTTAAATAATTTTAAAATCTTACTCTCCTTAACCCAAAATGTTTACAATTTTTTTTATTGATTTGTTTGTTAAAAGTTATTCTCTCTCATCCTAAAGTACTGAACAATATAAAGAAAAACATGTAATTTAGTGTTCGTTTGGTGTGGTTGAAGCTTTTAATAGAAGTTCTATTGAAAATAAACTGTTGTCAAATGGTTGTTTCTATAAATAAAAAGAAAAATAAAGATAAAATATGAATAATATGTTAATTTTATTAAAACCTAAATAAGAAGTTCCTACGAAGCACCAATTTGGTGCTTCTAAGATTTGCAATAAAATGGACAAAATACTAACCTGTGAGAAATTGTAGTATTTTTCATAAATTGTAATGTTTAGTGCAGTTAAAGCTGTCCCACCAGTTGTACCAAACATAGCCTTAATACTTAGAAATTAAAATCATTAGCTGAATAAAGACTCAAACATTTATCAACTAAAGTTTCTGTTAATCAAATCATTTTTTAAAATAAATAATGAAAAGTAAGAATTAAAATCTAAAACAATTCAACAACTTAAAAGAAGACTTTCTTTAAGTTTGTATTTGATGAGTCTTGATTCTTAAGTTACTCGATATGCAAGAAATTTATTTAGTTAAATTAAAATATTGTCATGTTTTGTAAACTATTTAATTAAGTCTTAACATTTTTTTTTATATTTAAAATGATAGTTCTAATAAAAATGTTATAAATTTTATAAATTTTAAACTATTAAATATAAAAGATTATGAAGAATTAAATGATAATATTTTAAATTTTAACATGACAGATAGAGTATTTTAAAATTTTAAAAGGAAAAAAACATGGTTATTAATTTAAAAAATTTTCCAAAGTTGAGGGGAGGTGGCGGCACCCCCTCGCATCCTCCTCCCTCCGCCTGCTGGAATGAATTTACAAGAAAAAAGAAAGAAAAAAGTGGAAAATAAATGTGAGTGATAAAGTATGAGAGAGAAATTACCGAATTAATCTAGGGAAATTTAAAATATTTGGAAAATAAAATTCAAAAAGCAAGACAATCTAGAACATTCATAACTAAGGAAATCGATGGCTAGAGAATTGTGTAAGAGTCGAGACATTTATGCAGAGACTTTAGATAAATAGTTTTCAGGCCTGGCAAAAGTGCGGGCTGGGTCAGATTTAGGTTGTATTTAGGTTGGGTTAACTTGAGTGATGGATGAGTTGAGTTATGAACGAATTGCAAGTTAAAAAAAGTCCAATTCTAATTTGATTCTATCTCAATCCTAACGAGTTATAAATTAACTCACGAATTAATATTATTTTTATTTTTTATAATTATTTTTTTATTAATTTTATTATATACAAATAAAATTATATATATCTAAGTCTAATTAAATATTATAATTCATTAAAACTAAG